GTGTGGCAGCAGCCTGGGTTAGCCGCCCGAGCACAATCCCACCTGACCCGTGGGCACATAGTCAGGGTGGCTAGCCCGAGCCGTGACCTGTCTGTTTTAACGCACTGGCTTGAGCAGAGCTGGCTCATGTTGGTCTCCCTGTGCTGGGACGACTACTCCCAGCTGCCGTGAAAACATACCCTTAGGTTTAGAAATTAAAGCCAAGATTTTCTAACGCGACTCGTGAGTCTGGGGTCCAATTTGTGGCAGCTTGTGGTGTTTGTTTTTCAGGTGCCCGGGCCCAAGTCTGCAGCACTGCCGGCCAGATCCAGCCTTGGAGATCAGGCCCTTCTGAGGGCTCTCAAGTTGGGCACTGAAAGGCACGAGCTGCTTGCAAAAAATCTTGCCCTAACTGGCCCGAGCCCATCTGTGTCAGGATGACTTCCCGTTGCTGCTGCTCCCCTAAGCTTCAGAGCAGAGGTCTGCTCAGGTCTACTTTCTAAGCCTGATGTGAACCCAACCCAGACCCAAGCCCCAGCCCGAGAGGCTTGAATCATTTTCTGACCCGACACTTCCCCCTGAACCTGAGTGAGTATCAGCACCACCTCCTGCCCGTGCGGCTGGCATGGTGGTGGCTGCAGCTGTGTGCCCTGCTCCTGACAGCCGCTGCCCCATGCTGACTCTGTGTGCCGTGGAGCGAGCGGTGCTGTGACTTCTTGGCACGCTCACTGCACAGCATAGTGAGGTTGTGGCAGCCGGCAGGAGCGGGGCCAGCAGCCACCGCCACGCCAACACCCAGGCAGGACGCGGAGAGCCAACCTGACCGCAGCCCCGGAGGATCCAGTTGTTTTCCCACCTGCCCCAACGCGGGCCCAACACTCGTAGTCAGGTCCTCCTGCTGGGTTCAGGTCAGGTGGCACAGCTTGAGCGCACAGGGGGCTAGGCTCTGGCCTGCTTGCACAGATCGGAGTGGGAGAGCAGGGCCTCAGAAGAGGCTTGGAGCCCAGTGATGGGGCCGAATGTGCTTGCGGCTAGTGAAGAGCTGTGGCTGAGTGGAGGATGTACAGCCTAGCCCTGCCAACCTGGCCCCTTTGCTAGGCACTAATCTCTCACTGAGGGCATGTGAAGGTGCTCAGTGGGACATTACATACAACATCAGAGCTAGCCAGATGTGGTAGCATTTGCTGATCTCCCTTAAGAAATGTATCCCCTGAGTTTTATTTGTGACAGTCACGTTTATTGAGCTTTACATGTAAAATGCACAGCTAGTGGGGAGTGTGAGGGAAAGGGGGAGGCTGTCTGGCCATAGACAGTATCACTGGGAGGGACAGTACGCCCAGACTCCAGGAGCTACCAGTGGTGGGTGACCTTGGCGTGTGTATGGTGGGAAGCCTGCTGAACCCTTTTATCTGAGCTGCATGTCAAGAATCACAAGGAGCTTAGACTGATGTGCTGTGAAAGTGGGCAAAGCCTGGGAACAGTCTGGTAGATGCATTAGGGCCTAGCGCTGCTACTGGCCTAGCGGTTTTACTTTTTGTTTTAATATGCACAGTTTATTTATCCACAAATGGCTGCAATATTTACAGACTGTATCTTCTCTAACTTCTCTTCCAACACTGATTGCATCAAAAGAGTATATTTGTATAATAAAATAAATTCTCCCCTGTGCTGTGGTAATCTGTGCTCAGTAACTACATGTGTTTTTCATTTATGGACCCGGGCCTGATCTGCTGCCAAGGGAGTTTTCATTAACTTTTAATAAGACATTTTTGTTGTATTTGGACATGCATGTTGTAAAGAGTAAGGAAGGATCTGTGCATTTCAGAGAGAATGGAGCCTCCTTGCTTTCGTCTTTGTGGAGAATCTTTGCAAGCTGTATTCTGTATGCACTTTTAGATTCAGATTTTAAAGCCTGAAGGGGACCATTGTGATCATCTAGCCTGACCTCCCCATCTAACACAGGCCAGAGAACCTCACACAGCGATCTCTGCATCCAACCCATAACTTAGTTTGAGCCAGAGCATATATTTTAGAAAGAGAGAGTCCAGAGAGACAGATGTCAAGTGATGGAGAATCCACCCCGTCCCTTGGTAGTTTGTTACAGCAGTTAATCACCATTCCTGTTAAACATTTGCACCTTATTTCCAGTCCAAACTGTTAAGCTTCAACTTCCACCTGTTGGATCTCGTTCTGCCTTGGTCTGTAGGTTAGAGTCCTCTGCTCTCAGAAAGCTCCTCCCTATACAGGTGCTTGCAGGCTGTCATCGTCACTTCTCAACCTTCTCTTGAAGCCTGAGCTGCTTTAGTATTTCTCTGAAGGCAGGTTTTCCAGACTGCACATCATCCCTATAGCTCTTTTCTGAACCCTCTCCAGTTGATTAGCATCCTTTTTGCCATGTGAGACATCAGCGTGGGACACAGTAACTAGTAATGGTCTCACTAATGTCATAAGCAGAGGTGATCCCACCTCTCTGTGTATGCACACAAGGATCTTCACACGTGTGGTGAATGTTGTCTACGGGTGACTAGAGGCCATGCTGCTGGAAGATTTACTGAGTAGTTCAGTGCCATTCTGAATGAGTCTGGGTTACAACTTTGACTGTACCCCTGCAAAACATTCAGTGGCAGGGTGACTGAGCCATTCTTTCAGCTGAGAAAATATCCGCTTATTAGGGTTGTCTCTCTCTAAATGAAGTCTATCCCATGGTTTCTTAGCAGAGATGGTTTTGAGAGGGGGCGCAGACTACAGGCACTTTCAAGTCTAGTAAGAAACAGTATTGCTGAGATGGTAATCAGCTGGACAATGAGGATGCGCTGAGGATTGGCACAGTCACTGCGAGGGCATCAGTCAGACCACAGCATGTCCCACCAGCGGGCACCAGGATACCCCAACGTGATGAAGCTGGTAAAAGGCAGTTTCCTCGTGCCATTTACTCCCTATGGACACTGGTGAGTAGCTAGAAGCTCCACGGGCACTGACAGACCTGCCGTCTGGAGCGGGGCATGCTTGGTAGCCTGGGTGTTTCAGATAGACTGCTCTCGGCTTTGCACTGCCATCAGCCAGTGCTGGGCCACTGGCAGGGAGAATCTCCCCCACATACAACTGCATGAGGGACCACCCACAAATGTCAGCAATAGACAAGGGCAGCAGCACGTGGGGCACCCCTCAGCGTGCCAGGGCCTGCCGTGGGCACAAGGTCCCCGCAGCAAGAGAGACAACTCAGGCCAGGAGCACCGAGTGCTGCAAGACCCCTGCCCTGCAAGCACACAGGCCTCTCTCTGACCTCAGCTGTGGGCTCCCGCAGTGCTGAGGTAGACAGCTCTCAACAAGGAATGTGATGGTGGGGACCCCAGCTTTATGTGGCACATAGGGAACGTGGTGCCTACAATGAGCCTGTGAACGAGGAACGCTTGGGCATGAGCACACAAGCCGGAGCCATTGCACTGAGCCACCCAAACCCTGGGTCATGTTCTCCAGCCTTCCCTGGCAGCCCTTGCTAGTCACCTCCAGGCCACGCTCCGCGAAGCTGACCGCCAGTGTGAGACGTACGTTAACGTCACATCTCTTTGAAGGTGCATGCCCACTGCTGCCAGCTATGAGAGCGTGCTCCCAATACAGCCTTGCCAGCATGGCACCGTGGGGCACAGGGCCGAGGAGATGAGCAGTGGTGTCTGGGCATGATCCTGAATCCATGCTGACTCTCCAGCACAAACATGCTGCTGTGGCCAGAGTTGTGGGCAGTGTCTGCAATCCTCTCCCCTCCCTGCTCCAGGGGGCCCCAGTACAGCTGGGCCTGGGTCAGCTTGTGCCCATAGGGTGCCAGGCCCCAGCTCTGTGTGTCTGCTCTGCCACCATAGCCTGGGTCCTGACCCCATGGGCTGCAGGGAGAGCAAGGAATGACGGGGGGATAAGACTAGAAAGAGAAAACAAGGTGCAAAGGGAGAGGGAGGAGAGAAAACAAGGGACAGGAAAGAGCATGGCCAGGCCAGACATAGGGAGAGGCAGGGTAAGTCTGCCAGGGGATGATAGAGGGGCTCTAGGCATGGGGCACAAGGGCTGTGGGGTCAGGGTACCCAGCCACCCAGCTATTACCCTGGGGCTCTGACAAAGCCAGGCTGGGAATGACGGAGCTAAGACCTGCCTGTTGGGTTTAGTTAGTTCATCTGCGGCCCTGTTCTCCAGGGTGTGTGATAGAAACACACAGCAATGGTGAACGAAAATGTTCGCCATCTTTGCCTGACGGAGGCTAAACCAGTCACTCCAGCAGCAGAGCCCGCTAGCTCTCTGTTCGGCTAAACATGCACCCGAAGGAGAGAGATTCACAGTCAATGTTTAGAAAACACACGTGTTCGTTGAGCACGCGTGAGCGTTCTGAACGATCTGCTCTAGGGCACCCACAGGGAGGCGCCCCGAGTGAAGGATACAGCCTAGGCTATGCAGGTCAGACAAGACCTGCAGCCTCCTCCTGGCCTTCCAAGCTACAGAGCTAGGGCATTTTCTCCCTGTCTGGCCCTTTGATGTGGTTCTGCTTCGTGGGCTCCCCGTGTCCCACAGAGCAGAATGCCCGCCCTTTTGCCTACACACACACACACATCTTGTCTTTCCATGTGCTGCACCCTCCCTTGCAGCCAGCGGTGTCCCCTCCTGGCTCTGCTCCGGGGGGGAGCCTCGTACTGAATGAATGGCATCACAGCCACTCCAACAGCACTGTCCAGTGACTTCCTTCAACTGCAGTTTCGGTGCCCTGGGCTCCGTCACCCACCCCTAATGCCATCTGCGGGCACTGAATCACTTTATCAGACGGTGACAGCAAGGGAGAGGACCGTAGGGACTGGGGATGTGTTAGGAGATACCGCCGTTCCTCCCAGGCCTACAGACTCCGACCAGAGCCGGGGGCCGCGACGTGAATTCTGCTATGGCAGGACATCCCCTTCCTCGCCTGCCCGCAGTGATGGTTGGAAGGAGCCATTGCCTCCAGCTGGTGCTAGGGAAGCGAAGCCCACGCCGAGCCGTCCACTTACACAGTATTCAGCAGAACTGACGGGACTTCCAGCCCTGAGAAGCAGCCTCTGAGGGAGGGAGCCAGCGCATCTGAAAAGACAAGAGCGGCGGAAGTGAAACATGAGCTAGGGTTCATCACACGCCTTCAACTCCTGCACAAACCACATCCTGGGTCTCTGCGAAGAGGGGATGAGAGCTGGGCCCTGTTCTGGGCTCACCCTAAGTGCCAAACAGGCCTGGCCCAAACCCCTGCTTCAAACACCACCCCCTTCTAGTTCTGGCAGTTTAGAGCTGCAGACCCAACATTTTGTCACCCGTGCATTTCCCCTTGCAACCCTGTGGCGGTGCACAACGGATTCAACGGGAGGGCCGAGGCCAGTGTTCGTGGCCCCCTGCCAGAGCACACCTGTGGGGCTGGATGTGGGGCAGATCTGTGCCAGAGCTGCGCACCCGAAGTTGGAGCTATGGCTTACAGCTGGGGTTCTCGGTTCTCGCCCCCCCTTCCCCCCAACATGCTGTAACAGCTCCATGGCCCATCTGTGCCACAACAACTGGTTTTTCTGCCTCTAAAAGCCAGGGCCTGGCATTGGCCAGGTTTGCCGAGCAGTAACTCGCTGGCGCTCCATGGACAGCGCCTTTCCTGCTGCACAAAGAGGCGCTCATTCGCGCCTGGCTGTTCCTTCTGCAGGGCAAGGGGGACTGAAAGCAGGGAACGCTTCTTTCAGCGGCGAGCGCTAGCAGCTGGGGCCCTGGCTCTGCAGAGTGGGCAGGGCTGCCGGGAAAGGAGGAGGTGCCGTTTTGACTCAGCGCAGGACCGCGTTCTAGCACGCACACGTGACGGCGAGCTTGCGGGGCTGTTGTTACGCCACAGAGACGTCGCTAAGATCGTAGCGTATCCTCCGCTGCTGAAAGGATGGCTTCTCCCTCCTTCGCTGCACCAGTAGATGGGTGTAGGAAAGCAGTAATGCCTGCGTGCTGAGGGGACACAGCTTCTTTCCAGCGGCATGTGCAGCACCCAACGCTATTAAAGGGACAGCTGCAGAAGGAGGGACCGCACCCTGAGAACGCGGCTCTGGAGAAGGCACTCTGTCAGGGTCGGCCTGAAAAGTTGCTTTTGCTCCCACAAATAGGGTGTGAAATGCAAGGTCTGCATTAGGGCCTGACTCTGCCGTGTGACTCCCCTTGACATGGGGGAGGAGCTGCTCCGATGTCACTCGGCCTACTGTTGTATAAGGTGCTAATCAGCGTGGGGGTGGCAGAAGCAGGCCTTGAAACCCTTTCTCTCTGTCCTGCAGGTGCTTCATTGTGTACCAGCTCTCTCTGTCCCAGGCCAGGATGCGTGGAACATGTCCAACCGCAACCATCAGAGTGAAATGGGACCATTTTCACTTGGCCGCTGAGCGGCCTTGTCCAGCTATATGGAAACATACCATTTCCCACTGATGCCTTTTGTGCCTGAATGTGAGCAAGGCAGAACGGAAAGGCAAGAAAAGAGCCCACTCCGACCGCCAGTGGGGACAGGGGCTCAGGGAGGGAAGAGTTGGGCAGGACTGGTGGGGGGTGGGGGGAGAGTATGAAGCTTGAAACCAACCCCAGCTCTCCTGGCTCTGAGTTTCATTCCAGGGTAGTTGGGCCCTTTGACATGCAAAACTTGGAAGATTCTCATTGTAGCCATTTGAAGTTGGGCGAAACCTGATGATTTTGACTAAGTTTTGGGTTCATTTGAAGCCAGAAATTCATTGCGCAATGCAGGGGCTCAAACTCATGTGAATTGAAACAAGTGGGAGTTTCATGGATCCTTGCACATGGAGATCATTGTTCGATGCATCCATTATGATGTCATCAGCTTATTTCATTAATAACCAGTGAGGATGCTGTTAATGAGTCCTGAAATGTCGGACCTGAAAGCACAATTGTGCACAAATAATTTGTATGTGCAAATAGGCAGTTAGATGTCAAACTGATCATTGGGATATGCAATCGCGGTAATTACATGGACAAATTATGTGCCACGCTTTTGCACACTCATTTTTAAATATACCTTTTGATATTTCATTGTTCAGGTACTGCTGCTGGCCCCTTGGCGCTCTCGGGGTGGGGGGGCTGTTATCAGATTTTGGTTTGTATCCACAGCATGTCAGTGGAGCCAGAAGGGAAGGAGACACTGAGGGAGAATGGGACAGAAGCTGGTGGCCAAGTGCAGCATCTGGCACTATCTCTGCTCTGCAGTGTTTGGTGGAGGGATGTAGAGATGTCAGGAGACTGCTCGCCTCATGGGATGCATTGACTATTTCTGTATAGGTGAAAGCCATGGATCTTGCTGAGGAAGCTCTGAGCTTGTTCTCCTGATGAAGATGGCCTGGAAAAACTACTTTGGGTAAGAACTCTGGAGTATCCTAATAACCACTGGTCTGAAAATTAAGGAGGGAAACTTTCTCTGCCAGACAAAGTATTTTATTCCTAACCCCTGTGGCTGGCAGCTTTGATAGAGAGGAATGTATCAGAGTCATAGGTTATAAGGCCAGATGGGACAGACCATCTGGTCTGACCTCCTGCATGGCACAGACGAGAGCGGCCCCGGTTTTCAAAATTCGGGTCGCGACGGCATTTCAGGCACTGGGTCACTCTGGGCAGCACCGCCGACTGGGATGTGAAAAGGCCCCTCGGCGGTGCTGCCCAGCTGAGGCGGGCTAGTGCCTACCGGTTCCGACACCGCGCTGTGGCGAGCCGTGGGTCCGGCTTCGAGGCGGGGGGCCACGGGGCACTGCGCCCACCCCGAGCACATTTGGCTGTATTGAAACTCATCCTGTTTTAAGCATGTTATCTCAATACAGTTACTTTTCTCAGCTGACCTTGTTATCTCATCCAATATCAAGTTTGCCTGACAATACCTGTTTTCCATAAAACCATGCTGGTTATTAATTATGCTGCAAGCCTTTAATTATTTACTGATCGATGTCCGGGTAACTGGCCTGTAGTGACCTTTCTGAAATTAGCTATTTTCCAGCCCTCTGGAACTTTCCCAGGGTTCTGAGGTTTGTTAAACAGGAATAGCAACGTTTCGGAGATCACGCCTACCAATACTTTCTAAACTAATCTGTTGGATGCAAGCTACCTGGTCCCGCGGACGTCAAAATAGTTAACGCTCGCGGTTACTGTTTGTAGTTGCTTTTGCAGTGTCTGTGTGTAGCAGGGGGTGAGGCTCACAGGGCAGCATCTGCGTGTAGAAGGTGGACAAAGGCCGGTGGGGCGGCGTCTGCGTGTAGCCAGCGGACAGAGGTGTCTGTGTAGCAGGCGGATTGCTCTCCAGATGGTAGGCTGCTAACTGTGGATCAGAGAGGTTGTGAAGCCCTTGATTTAAGGGACTAGCCGGGTGTGGCCCGCTGCACAGACTAGTGTAGAGTCTGTCCCTGGTGCGAGAGATGTGAGAAGGAGCAAGAGCTCTTTTGCCGACAGTTCTGCCAGGCTGGGCTTATCATGTAGCGGGCCCGGATGCCGTTGTGTTGACATGGGAACCAAATGAGCAGGATGTCCAGGTAGCAGGAGCTGTGAAAGCCCTCGTGCCCAAAGCAGGCAATGAGCATCACTGCAGGCTGTAAGAGCCTCATCAGCAATACCCTTGGCTATTTGAAGTGTGACCCAGTCTGGACCCAAGGCACTGGGATCAGCCACACCTTAGCCCCTTGGCCACAGTCCAGGTCTGGATCCAGACTGCTGGTGTGGAGAAAGAGAGGAGCAGAACTGGTGCCATACTCAAGAGCCTGCAGCCTAAATCAACCCCACTGAGAGCAGAGCGGCTGAGAGAAGCTGCTTGCTGTGGCAGACACAGTGCCCGGGCCCATGCCTGTATGCGTGGAGCCTGGAGGGCACCAAGAATTCTACCAATGGCTGATTCCGTGCCATGAATGTGCCTGGCAGCCCTCGCAGCCAGCCCCCAGGCCACAGGGCTCGGTGGAGGAGATCAGCCCTGAATACAAGCACTGAAGAGTTAGTTCTACTTGCTTAAGTAAAACCATGTGAACAGAGACAGTTGCCAACGCTTAGGTCTGTGTATGTGCCGTGCCTCGCACAGCAGGCTCACTCCTGCCTACAGACACAGTATTGCCAAAATCGTGAGTCAAATTCCTATAAATCATGATTGGCCCCCACACAGCAGGAGATGTTTTTAAAATCAGCAAGCCAGACTTCTTAGTCCATCTTTTGACTTTTTAACTCCCCTCACCCTCTCCTCACCCCTAACATAGGGGAACTGCCAGCCATTTCCTATTACTGCCTTCACTCCCCTCCCTCCGACCCAGCAGCACCACCTCCCTGACTCCCTCCCTCCCACTACCCCGGCACCCTCTCTCTGCTCTAGCATCATAAATGTAGGCAGGGCCGGTCTGTGTCCTCAGGCCCGAGGCTCTCGCACAGAGCTCTGCCAGCCTCGAAAAACACAGGATCAGAGGCGCTTCTCTTGTCACAGCAACAGCTCCTCCGGCAGGTGCTGAAATCCTGTGAGAGAATCCTACAACCCCTTTGCCAGTTGGCAGTCCTTCCCCTGGCTGCTACCCGTACCCAACACTCGCCCTGGGCTGTGGGCACTGCCACTGGATCCCCTCCATCTCCCACTCCATCACTGTCCTCTGCCTTTCCCTGCACCCACATGCCCCTGCAACCTCTAAATCACACTCCTGATCCCCCCCCGCGCTCCCCATCACAGGGTCTCTGCTGCTCCTCACAGTCCCTGTGCCCGGTCCAGCCCCCTGAAACATGCAGTGACAGCCACATTACCTGTGGGCCTGGCTTCAATCTCATTGGAAACAATGGGAGGTGGCAGATATCTTTCTCAAGGGCAGCCTCCCTTACCCACGCAGACTGTAGGGACATGGTGCCCATCGTGTCAGCGTTAGCCCCATTCTCTGGCATGGCAGTTGACGGCCATTTGGAATCAGGGACACTTCCCGTGTTGGCACCTTCCATCATGTATTCATAGACAGGTGCAAACAACCCAGAAGCACGAGAGCCGTGATAAACCTGTGAGTGCCGGCCCTATGGTGGACCAAACCAGCAGCTAATAATACCCAGCTCTTGAACAGCAGCCATACAAC